ATCGCGAACTGGCCCTGTTGGGGGGTGTCCGCCTTTATTATCACTCTTACGCGCCAGGATTATCCTTCCGACGCCGTTTAGTTCCTTTTTGCCGTGTCATCTCCTCTGCAAGTCTTTTAGGTAGTTTCGGCGCGTTGATAGCGTTCGGCGGGTGAAAGCGCTTCGTTTCAATATTTCCTCTACTTTGGGTTGTATGTTTAGCTTCGCTTTCTGGATTTTTAACCGAATCTAAGGTATCATTTCTGACAGAGCACTTTTTGGGACCTGTAGAATCGATCGAAATCGCGGAAGGATCATTCTCAACCTCATCCCAGATGTTATAGGCTTCAATGCTACTTTCGCTTTTTTCTCGTGAGGTGCAACGCTCAATGTTATCATTACTAATATTATGAGATTCCTCAGCAAGACGTTTTGAGATTGTTTCTGTATTGGTGGTAAACAAGCGACGCGCATATTGGTAGCCGCTGCGAGGAAATGAGGAATTGTCGAGGATAATCGGCTCCTGCAAGGTGGCAAAATGCGCAGAGGAAGAAGAGGGAAACTCCCCGTTCACTACCGTGGTGCGCTCGTGCAAGCGATCCTCGATTTCATCATACTGTTGAGATTCGTATAAGGCCCGCCGCTTTGCCTCCTCTTTACGCTGCATAAATTTCATCTTGAGCAGCACATTTAAAGCCTTGGATTTGTCCATTTTGTGCTTCCTTTTTTATAAATGTCAATAATGATATATACTTAAAACAATGTCCGATTAAACTCAAAAGGGCTTTAGATCGACAGTTCCTCATATAGTGTTAATGAAAAAATTGCACCATCCCAAAAAAAAGAGAGAAATATCAAAAATTCAAGTGGGTAAATAACTGCAAACAGCAGTAAAATTTTTATTTTCAGTGGACAATGAATTCTAACGAGTACACAGTGTCTTCTTTGTTTACACCCTTTTTACGTGTATATTGAATTAAGTCTATTATACAAACATAAAGAGGACATCAGAAGCAGCCTCAAAGAAGTATTCATAAGCTCCTCGTTCTATCTACATAACTGAAAAAAAGAGGCCAAAGCAATAAAAACACCGTAAAAATAAAAATAATAATAATAATAATAATGCAATAGTAAACATCTCAACATTGGCGGGTAAAAACAAGCCCTCAAAAAAAAAAAATGTCCTATGACAGTAGAGAAAAGGTATAAAAGTAAAAGAATTATGATATTGTGACGAATTCATAAGAAGTATATCGAGATAGCCTGTACGCAGAGTATTTTTTCTAATAAATATTTTACACACCTAAACACATTTTTTATCCCCCTCTGTCCTTTTTTTCTTAGCTTCGTAAGAATGTTTTTAAGTGGATCTTTTATAGTTGCATTCGTATAAATTTTTTTCTAGATTTCTTTTGAGTCTTTCTGATACGTTTTAACGCTCTATCGATTGGAGCCGGGGTAAAAATATTTTGTATTTCGAATATTGGGGTTCCGTTGGGTAGAGTTTTCGTTTGTTTTTTGAGGGATGTGCATAGGGCGGACGGGGAGGGAACGTAAGACGCAAGGAAAGGGAATGGTGATCCCCCGCCCTGTCCGTGGGTCCGTGCTCACGCCAATCCCGAACGGCGCGGTCATCGGCTGGACATCCGCCCCGGAGGTTCCTCCGTTATTATTTACTGTATTAGTGCTCCCATTTCCCGCCGTATTTTTGCTCCCCCCGGCGCGAGATTGATGAATTCTCAACGGCAGCGCCGTTGTGGAAGCCACAATAGAACTGTTGTTGAGGGCCAGAGGGCGGGGTTTGATGACCTCCTGTATAGTACCATTGTTTTGATTGGAATTAATATTAGTATTAGTATTAGTGATGTTAGTATTAGTATTGTTAGTAATCGCGCTGCTATTTACTGTCGTATTATCGATCCCGCCCATGTCGAGAAAGACGTTTGGTGGAACCACGCATTCATTGCGTTTAATCTGCTCCGCTCGCCTGCGATCCTCGCTGGAGACGGTACGGCGATCCAGCGATTTCAGCCGCTGAAAGGCAAAAACGACTTTTTGACGATAATTCGACTTTCGCGTGAGGGGGTTGGCCGTGAAGACCACCTCCGAGAGGGTCCCCGCGCTCGCCGTGAGGTTCGACAGCAGCCCTTGGAGGTCCCCCAGGCGATTTAACCCAAGGTAGAGCTGTTCGAGGCGTTTGAGCGAGGAAAGCCCGTCCGTCGTCCGGATGACGTTCTCCTCTGCGGATAAAACCGTCAACGTCCCCGCGCAGGCCGAAAGACATTCCGGCCCAATCATCCGCAGTTTATTCTGGTCAATAATGAGCTCGATTAGACGCGGTAAGTGCTCAAGGCCCCCGTCCAAATACTGTAGCTCATTGGACTTAAGATTTAAAAAATAAAGCTTCGGGAAGTTGAGGGAGAGGGCGTCGAGATTTGTGATATGATTCGACTCTAGAGAGAGGGATTCCAGATGGGTAAGCGGCCCCAAGACCTCGCCGAGGCTGCGGGAGGACGTTAGCGAGCCCAATCGATTAAACGAAAGATCTAAAGCTCGTAAATTGCGCAGGCTGCCCACCCCCTCCACCTGCATAAGCAGGTTGTGGTTGAGTTTGAGCAGTTTTAACTTGGGAAATGCGGTGATCATGCTGACCTCTTTGAGCATGCAGTGCGAAAGATCGAGCTCGGTGAGGGTTCCCCAAAGCGAGGTCGAGGCGTGTGCACGCTCCACCAACAAATCGGCGCTGATCCGCCCTGCGAACTCCTCGTGCGCGCCCTGCAGATCCTCCTGCGAGATCGAAATCCCATTCAACACCTTCAGATTCGTGAAATGGTAGATGACATAATAGCAGGGGAACAAATTACTGCCCTGGCGAGAGGAGTTCGAGGGCGCCGTCCCCCCTCCCCCGTCCATGCACGGGTTCCCGCTAATATCCATCGAAATGAGCTTCGGGAGGTCTTTGAGGGCGTAGAAGCTGTTGATCGAGCTGATTTGATTCGACGCGAGGTAAAGCTCCTCCAACTCGCGCATCTGCGCGAGAAAGTCGCTCTCGAGCTCGACCAACGCATTGCTGCTCGCGTTGAGGATCTGAAGATGCGGCACCGGCCCCATCTCCGCGAGCGAGGTGATCAAATTAAACGAAACATCCAGCCTGCGGAGCTTGCAAAGTTCGGTGAGGTTGGGGAGCTGCTCGATCGCATTCTCCTGGACGTTTAGCTCCTCAAGGCTGGGGAGCGCGAGGAAGGGCGAGAGGTCGGTGAGGTGGTGATTCCGCAGCGTGAGGTGGCGGAGGCTCGGCATGAGATGCAGCACGCAGGACAAATCCCGCGAAAGGCTCTCGCCGTACGCGAAAGACTCCACGGCGGATAAAACCCCCTCGCAAAACAGCGGATCCGCCATCGTCGTATCCCTTTCCCGCGCGGAGATCGAATTGGGCGAGTGATCCACCTCCTCCGAGGCGGAAGCGGTGACCTCGGCGAGGGTCGCCTCGTACGCGCGCTCGGGAATCCCGCCGAAGTCGAGCGAGAAGGGATCCTGCATTTTGGAAATATCCTCCACGGTTTGTAGGATCGCGCGGGAATCGACCTTCGAGACGTCCAAATCCCGAAGCGAGGCCAGCGAAAACGACGCCGCGGCGGAAAACCAGGAAAACATCAGCGATAACACGTCGGTCGACGGTAAGGCAGAGACTGCGAGGGTTCGGTTGATTAAGACCCCCCAATAAGAGCAGTTATTGCCTGCTTTCAGCGATACGTTATTCAACGTATGAAGGCAAACGGAGGAGCGCACTAGAGCGGGATTACAAAAAAAGAGAGAAAGAAGGCGAAGAAGGGCGTTTTTTTCGCGTTGGATGAAAGGATTTTTCTGGACCGATAAGGACTGAAGTTTCGGGAAAGACTCTGGGAGATCGTGAAGGCTCTCGACAGTGGGTAAGAGGTTATAGCTCAGATCTAGGGTGTAAAGCGAATCGAAGCGAACCTTCTTCAGATCCAGTGCAGAGATGGAATTCCCTTGGAGGAAAAGATATTGCAAATTGGGCGCGCAATCCGCGAGGGCCTGGAACGAGATCCGGACGATCCCGTTCGAGCTGAGGTCTAACGTCAAGAGCGAGCCCCACAAAGGGGTGTGAAAGTCGTCGTTGAGGGCGAGGATGGAGCGGCGATGGAGGCAGCAAAAGACCAACGACGTTCCCGATTTGCCTTTCCCCTCTGTGGGAAGCCCGAGCTGGGTGCAATAGTCGTGGATTGTCGCGCCATCGAGCACGCGAAGCTCCGCTGAGGGCATCTCGGTGGTGGAGTCCCTCGTCGGCGTCCCGATTCGCGCGATATCGGCGTCCGCCCGCTCGTTCAGCGAGCGTCGCGGGAGGCGAAGAATCCCCCGCGCGGCCGTGGTGGCGAGGTCGACGTCGGTTTTCGTGATTTGCTCGAGCAGCCCGGTGCGGAAGAAGTGGAGGGCGGCGACGAGGGGGGAGCCGCACTCGCGCACGCAAACCCAAGGGCTGTTCGCGTCGATGAGGGCGGCGGCGGGGGCGGTCTCCGCGCTCGGCCGCTCCGTGTGGCTTTCCTCGCTGGATTCGCTCACGACGTCGCCCTCGCGCGCGGTGGGGGGCGGGGGGAGGGCGTAGGGGCAGCCGAAGAGCCCCTCGAGCTCCTCGCGCAGGGCGTCGGGCATCGCGAAGGCGATCCCGGGCATCGGCGCGGCCATCGGCGGGATCCCTGGCATATAGCTGAACTCAATAACGCACTCCGGCAGGACGAGGGCGCGGTCGAGGGCGTACCACACCATCGCCCGGGCGTGCTCGCC